AGTACCGTGAGCTGGGCTCCTGATAAAGCCGGGAACTGCGGTCTCTTGGCCGCTACGGTCTCCTCGGGCTGCATGTCCACTTCAGCCGCGTGCCGCTTCCGTTTGTGACTCTTCTTTGATTTGACTTTCTCAAACGCGTCTGTGTTTCCCTCACAGTCCATAGTAGCGCTCACCTCCGCCGGCGTGTTTGATACCGACTCCATCGTGAAAAGAGCTTTTAGACACTACAGTTCAGCAGAGATGTTTACCACGAACATGTGGCTTCTGCCATGTTACAGACAGAAAGGACCTTATTGCTGCCCAACCAGTGCCAAGTGCTACTACTTATTAAATTAATCATGTGTTTCCATGTTAGCTGCCAAAGTGATTTTAACTTAATTAATCTTTTTTTTAAATATTAAATGAACTAATATCATAGTCTATCCGCATGGTAAAGATTTGCCGTTGATATTGGTCAGGCTAGGAGTAAGGCAGCTATGTGTTGTGGGAGGGTCCTTATCGCAATAGAAAACACACACACGAGCAACACTGCTGAAATCTCTCCTGTTTTCCGCTCAAACTGACCGGTTTCTCCGCTTTAATTGAAGGTTAAAGGTTAAAGCAGCATGTCATCAGCGCTCGAAAAGCCGCAAATCATCGCGCACATCCAGAAGAGTCTGAACTACACGGTGTTTGACAGCAGATGGATTCCCTGCAGCGCCAAGTTTGTTTGTATGGGAAACTTCGCCCGAGGAACCGGAGTCGTGCAGATCTATGAGGTCCAGCACGGGGAGCTGCAGCTGGTCAAAGAGGTGCGATTCATTTAGCTGGACATGTGCAGACTGAGCCACGTTTACTAGCAAAGGCAGATCAGGCTCTTTCTAGAAAACCCCTGACGCCCGGTTGCCATGGCAACAGCGAAGCGGTTTGTTTACATGGGCCTCGCTCTGATAAACAATCAACGATTTCTGAAATAGCTTTTAAAATGTAGTTATGAAGAACCCGTTCAGAAACACATAAAATAACATTTCTTAAACTTTTACTAATCAGTTCTAACTTTTATCTGACTTGGGGGCTGTTTTTGACAGCAAAAAAACACAATTATTAACCTTATTGTATTTATTTATGTGTTTATTTTACAATTTTTAGCAGTTGTTATGTGCGAATAGTCTTATCTTGAATCTAATATTAATTACAATTCATGTAAAACTACTTCCTTATTTGTTTATTAAGTCCAGCAGTGCCATATCTTGTGTTTTATAAATGTTATGAACATGCTTTGTTGTCCTTTATTCCAGATAGAGAAAGCCAAGCCGATCAAATGTGGGACGTTTGGAGCCACATCTCTCCAGCAGAGGCATCTGGCCACGGGGGACTTTGACGGCAGTCTTAATGTTTGGTAGGATAACGTTTGGTTGTTTTTGTCCGTATTTCAGGCCGCAGTCTGAGATAGAAGCCTTGCTTTGCAGGAATCTGGAGGTGCCGGAGAGCCCGGTGTACTCGGTGAAAGCACACAAGGAGATCATAAACAGCATTGATGGAGTGGGCGGATTGGGCATCGGCGACGGGGCCCCTGAGATCGTCACTGGGAGCAGAGACGGTGACTAGACTTACTTTACAAATCACATTTGAAAGCAGGGCCACTTTTGATCACGCATACATAGACACTGTACTTAGTTTTGCTAGGAATTGCCTCTGAAAATGTTTGTTCTCAACATTTTGTTATTATTTGTTTCTTTCTATGGTGCTTCATACGGTACAGATTGTTTCCAAGCAGCTGAGGAAAGACAATAGTGTCGTTTAGGGCTGTCACGATATTAGATTTTTCACACCACGGTTATTGTGTCCAAAAGAATTCATGGTATCGATTAGGGATATGCCGGTATCAAATTTTCATGTTGCGATTAATTGCTAATGCTTTTATCACGGTTTTAAATTTATATTTAAAAAAGTGCTGTCATAATACAGTATAACAGGTTTAATAACTTTTTTCTTATAACAAAAATAACTGAACATTTAAATGCAATAAAGCAATACAGAAAAATGTATAAAGTTAAAAGTTTTACACAGATTAAAGTGCAAAAGAACTATAAAGACCAATAGGTATCACTTTACAATAAGACCTCATTAGTTAACCTTAGTTAATGCATTAACATTCACAATGAGCAATAGCTACATTTGCTACAGAAGTTATTAATCTTTGTTTAAAAAATACAAGTCTTAGGTTGTTAAAATCGAAAGTTGCAACTGTGGTGTTATTTAATGAGCTAACATGAACTGTTATTAAATATTGGAATACCTAAGATGTATTAAGATGTATATAAGAATGTTCAGAAGAATTTTTCATTGGCAGTTTATGTTAACTAATGAATTAACTAATGTTAACTAATGAAGCCCTAATGTAAAGTGTGACCGAACAATAAAGAATCAAAACACTTTCAAACAATATCTAGGGCATGTTGTAGCTGTGCTCGTAGCACATGCTCTTCAATTGCACGCACTAATGCAGTGGCGCACGCTGTTTATAATTTCATATTAAAGCGCAAAAGAAACTACGAGCATGCAATGTCATCAGTTAAGTCATGAAGTTACCAAAAAGGTGATTAAAGCTGCCTTAAAACTGTGCATGCATGTAAGTATTTGTTATATATGAGTCCCATTTAAGAACATGTTTCTAAAATGCTTTTCAAAACTGTCCTGAAACACCAGCACTGTCTCCCCTCATCTAACACACCAGATTCATAAGTAGAGACTTTAAGACCTGAAGCATGTTAGAAAAGGTAAAGAGTTTTGAGAAAATAGGATGCGTGTCAGATCCGCGTAAAGTTCAGCAGCAGCAGCTCTTAAAGTAATAGCAGCCAACCCAACCTAATAACCAGCTGCTGTGATGTCCTTTCATCAAAGAACTAAAGAAAAAAAGAGGAAATCAATAACTTTTGTAGCTTTAAGGATTAATCTATTTAATTTAGTATTTAGTGTTTGATAACTTTATTCAAGTTCTGTATATTTCCTATTTGCTGAAGGGCACA